TTTAAAATAAAAAATCCTAACATTACATACATACTGACTTCATGGATTGTTGTATCTTTAACATATAAGGAAATTGACCAAAAGTTGCCCAATATTACAATTATTGTCACTGTCATCATGAACAGGAAACATCCTTCCTTTTTGTCCCTTCTTTCTCATAGATTAACACTTTACAATTACATTTCTCTTTCCTAACACCAATAAATGGAAAGAGAAAGAGCGTGTTGTGGTGATTAATAGTTACGAATTATTAGCTGAATAGTTAATAGCTATTAACCTATTAACTGAAGTGCACCGTTCTCATTAACAGCTACATCTCTAAACTGGGTGTAAAGGTGAAAAGCAAAAATTACAGATACAACTAAATACTTAATGCTGTGCATATTTTTATGACAAAAAAAGACTTTCTAGCCTCCGAATCCATTAATATTTTAAACTAAAAATTCAGCCACCTAAAACACGCAGCAAAGGAAACAAGGTAAAGGTAGAATCCTTAAGCTTTAATTTAAGATGAATGCAATGGATTTCAAATTAGAGATGTTAAGCCGGTCATACGTGACAAGCTTTGGAATATTTTCTTTTGGTCACACTGCTTGATGGTTCTTTTCATCCTTTGTTACATTAGGCTCTTTTTTATAATGACACTGAGAGTCACAGTGCATAATTAATAGGAAATGAAATATTCAAATGGCCTCTAATGCAGCCCCAGTGAAATGCCATTGAAATAAAAAGGCTAGGGAAGTGTGGAGACATCAGGAATGGGTATGAATGTTGGCATGTGTCACTTTTTAAAATCTCAGATAATGCGAGCATAAAAAGCATGCTCACACACAGCAAGCAAAAACAACAGGCTAACATTAAAACACATTTTTATGGCACAGTAGTTATTATTATTGAATTGTAAAATGGGCAGCTTAACCAATTCTGTTTCTCACACATTCTATTGTTGAGTCATCAAAATTCTAGTGTAAACGTTTAAATCAAGTTTGGCAAATCAAATGCAGATGTGGCAGTATGTTTAAACAACATTGTATTCCACAGGACGGGGTACATAGGCAGACAAGTGTCATCTTTAAAATTAAACACACACATGCATCTTATGCTACCAAATAGCAATACAAAGAAGTTTCAGATGTTTTCATCTCAGTTAGCTTACTGAATTATATTTTGAGTTTATTTAGTATTATTTTTGGGACAAAATAATTAACATTTCTAATGATTTATTACCAGGAGAATACTTCAGCTTTTTACAACAACCTTGGTTAGAATTTCTAGGCACATTGCAAACTAACATCTTCTCATGACAGATTTTCAGAATCTTGCACTGCTTAAACAACTCAAAACACCCTTCAAGACACAGGCTTGAATTTAAACTTCTGTGTCAAGGCATATACCAGCAATTGTTTTTTCACCATATGAATGAAATATACAAACACAGCACACACACACACACACACACACACACAGAGTACATGCTTGTGCGAAGAAAGCTAAGGTTAAAGAAGCAGTAAATCAAATACTTCTCCTTGAACTAAAACAGTCCATTTTGACAGCTGATTTTCTTTCTTTGAAAGCATGCAGCACACTAAAATAAATACTTATATAGGTGGAAAAAAAATCTTCAATATCCTGGACTGTGTTAAAAAAGATCCTGTTGGATTTATATTTGTTTAATAAGAGATTTCCTGGATGGATAATATCCACACAAACAATTAGATGTAGGGGGAAAATGGCACTTATTTAAAATTTGAACTATGAGTAGGATATTTATAAAGGACTGGACAGAAAATGGAGTTTCAAAAATCCAACAAATCTATTTCCATTAAACAACATCCATATTTATATTTTAGTTTTGCTGAACTTACTTAATGGCTGTACCCTCACTGTAATCTTTTAGCCCTGATTCAAAATGCAAAAATTCTAAATAGAACAAGAAAGTCATTGCTATAATAATAATTCCCAGCTTAAGAAGTCACAATCTTGTATGAAACTTGTTGCTAATCCTAGTACCACCAAATGATCTCATCTTTCATTCTGGCTGGATTCCAACATACAATTTCATCAACCCAGGTACCGCAGGTGATAAAACTCATTTTTCCCTAAAGAGACAGCTAAAAAGTACAGTTATACATTTATGAAGTACCAGCAATCAAAATTATGGATTTTTCTAAAAGGTTTTTAACTACTTTTATTGAAAGGAAAATTGCTGTCTCAGACTTTTTTGACACTATTACTAATAATAAATTTTACCATTTATACACAGCAATAATGTGGAAGATGGTGTCAGTAAAAAGTATGAAACAAAGATGATCGCTGTCTCTTAAGTAATTTCTTCTAATCAGATACCGGAAATGAACCTTAAGAGACATAAACCAAAAATCTAAAATTCTCATTGATTGCAAACAACAGGGCTAGTTCCAAGAGTATACAACATAAAACAAAAGATATATTATATATATATAATAGTTATCTGTTTATCTACGAAATTGACCAAATGAATTAGCACAATGATCACAAACTCTGTTGTTCTACAAAAATAACACACTATAAAATTATCTGTAACACCACCTCTGGATCTTTTCCCTCTAAACTTTTGTTCAGAATATTATAGAGATCACTAGAGGGCAGTGTGGTATTTAGACCACTTTGACCTTTGTAAGTGATGCAACTATTACTTAGGTCTTGAACTTTACTACAATGTCAGCAAGGTTAATCAGGATGCTGTAAAATCCGTGACATTAAAAACTGAATTCCAATTTAACATGTTCCACATACTAGGGGATAGAATGAATTAATATTTTGTTGATTGTATAATTATGTCGATCAACTTTCCTACGTATTTGTTGCCTGCCAGCATTTAAAAGGGCATGAATAAGAAAAAAACCTCACCTTTAGCTAGTGGTCAGTTTGCAAAATAAACTAGGAAAGATCGTGTGTATGAAATAAGCAATTGTATATACCTTTGGAAGTTTCCATCCCTGCGTCTTTTTCTTCTAATGTTGAACAATTTTAACCTTGATGTAGTTCAATTAAGCTTAAAGATAACTTCAGTTTAAAACTTTCTGATCTGCAGACAGCAGTCATTAGTGCATTTGAAGCAAGTTCTGGTTTCCAGCTTTCTTTAAACAGGTATCCTTATACGTACTTTTCTCTCTCTCAAACCACAAGCATAGTTTCTGGAATTTCATGTGGAAGTGCTTAAGGGGTTGAAAGTTAACACCTTTGTGAGCTGAGTAGCCTTGCAGTTGCTGCTAAACAAAAGCCTCTTTTAGAAGCTTTCCTGAAATGTTTTCTTAACATGTTCCAAGTAGTTTTAGGCAAGCAACTAAAGTAAACAAGATGTTACCATGATAAAAACACTTGTGAAAACATTGCAGTGTGTGCCTAAAATGTTTCTTTCACACAAGCATTCCTTAGTTTTACCAGCAAGCTTCCATCTTTAATTCATAAAGGATTTAATTTTTAAATGTTATTTTTTATAACTGTTACTGTTCCTACCAAACTTTGCAGAATTACAAGTCCCAAACTATCATGATTATATGTTGGTAACAAAGCTTACTTCCTTTTGTAAAAAAGTGGTCTTAGTATATTTGTGTATATATGTATCACACAGTATTACGTGTATTACTATCCTTCCAAAAGAAGTGGATTTCTGAAGTTCAGGGTTCAAAAGAGGAATCCTTGATGCTCTCAGGTTGGTTGGTTGCCAATGATTCATTATCCAATTAGCTTAACATCATCAGTGCTGATGATGTTACCTAGTTGGGTAATGAAACGTCTACAAGCAAACAACCAAGCTCAGAGAGCACCAAGATTTCCACTATTATCCTTCATTTTGAGTTTTTCAGCATCATTTCTGATAGTCTCTGATCCTTGACATTTGGGAAATACACCTATCCAGCCATTATAATGTGAAGCAAAGTTTGCAATGGAGAGTAGATGGCCTTACTTGATATACCAATAGGGGGGACAAAAATCACAGACAGAAGGGAATGAAAGTATTCAGAATTCCAAAGAAAGTAATTAAACTCACAGTACAACTTGCTGCACCCTCCACTATGAACAAGGGGACTCACATGCTGTAAGTATGTATTTACAATGAGCACTTTTGATGGGAACCCTGTTAGAAAAGCTGGTATATAATACCTCATCCTACAGCTGTACCACATTTAACAATATGGTCCAAAATTCCAATACAAATGTAACACAGCAATACACACATGTACATCCACATGTACACATACTTATTCAGACACAATTGCATGTAGATCAGATAGATAGGTAGATAGATAGATGGATGGATAGATAGATAGACATACATACATCAGGCATGATATTCCGCTCTGGAAAAAAAATCGGGGCCGGACAAAAGAGACCCCCCGCCGCGCGCCCGGGGAGCGCCCGCTGCTTTCCCTCGCCGGGGCCGGGCGGCGGCGTGTTGCACGGAGGCTGGTCTGTGGCTGGCCCAGCTCCCTTTTCCTGCCGCTCAGCGGCCTCCGCTCGCACCGCCCGGGCTCTGCTCAGGTATCCGGCTGGGGCTGCCAGGAGTTGCTACCGCCGGTGCAGCTCCACGCGGCTCCAGTCCCACGTTGCCTCGGGAAGGGAAAGGCAAAACCAGGAGCCGCTGCTGCCGTTGCAAAGCGCCGCCGCGGCTCTTCCTTTTTGCCTTTCCCTTCCTGAGGCAACGCGGGACTGGAGCCACGCGGAGCCGCGCCAGCAACTCCTGACTCAGGGCCTCCGAGGGGAGGGGAAGGAGGAGAAGAAGGGGTGGGGGGAAAGGAGGGGGCGATTCCCAAAAAAATCGGAATTCCGATTTTAATCGGAAGAATATCATGCCTGATACATACATACATACATGGCATAGCATAGAACAGAACAGAATTAAGAATTCTTACTTTAAAAAAGACTGAAAGTCTTCACATACTGCTTCGCAGCCCGGCCATTTGCATACTCCGTGCCCATAAAGCGGATGACTGTGAGAGGGTTCTTCATGGGATAAACTGAAAGAATAATTAAAAGGCGGAAGAGAGGAAACTATTATCATGTGAAACTTTAAATAAGCTTACTTTGGTGTTTGAAAAATGTACTGATCAATACAATCCAGTAAATACAAAATACTGAGGAATAAGCAAATCGTTTTGGATCATGAAATACAGGTTTACAAGAGAACATTTCCAAACTTTATTGAGGAATTGTATGTATCATATCTATGAATCAGACGTCTTACAAAAAATTTGAAAAAAAGGAAATATACTCCAAGATGCTTAAAAATTGTACCAGAGTAAGACACTTTTATTTGTACCAAAAAAATATCTCTGCATCTTTGTCCATAGTTATTAGCCAAATACTGAACTTCTAAAATTTTGATTACAGTATGGAAGTCAATAGCATTTTCATGGGTAATAAGAATTATTAATAGATATTTTGGAGCAACATTGCTGTTTGCCATAAGTCAAAATAAAAATTAAGGTTGCGGGAGAGGGAATCTGCCTGAACACAAAATGGTCAGATAATTGAATCTATTGCATTTATTATTATTCTGAAGTATTTTTTATTCAACTGTGGTATGAGCAAAATATTTTTTTTACAATTCTCATAATTTTAAATGACTTTTATATATAAAGAAGCTTTGATTTTTTTTATCTCCACTCCTCTTATTTTTAACAGAAAGCTATACCCAATACTATTAAGATAAGTTAAAGCTTTTTGATTTAAAATATACCCACAAGGACCATCTATACATGTTTCAGTTTTGTTCCTGGAATATTGCCTCTTATATATCAACAATCAGCAGTCCTATGTCTGAACTATCACAGAGGTATATTTGCCTACAACAGTGGTAGTCCCTACCGCCCACTAGTGGGCATTCCAGCTTCCATGGTGGGCAGTAGGGGTCCCCTACTTTATAAATCACCATTACTGTGGAACCGGTGGGCGGTTAGAGAAAATTTTATTACTAATAGAGATACAAAAGTGGGCAGTAGGTATAAAAAGGTTGACTACCCCGGCCTACAACATTGGTTCAAGATGACTCCAATAACCATTTTGCTTTAAACTTCCACTGTAATTCATGCAAAGACTTGATAAACCTTATATTAAGATATTATGAAATATGCTACCATTATAGTTAATAATATTATAGTATTTAGAGTAAGCTACATGGTAGGGGCAACATTCTTTTTTAAAAATTATCAGTCAGTGTGCTAGACTGCAAAGGACATCAGATTTGGACTAGAAAAAGCAGAACTTAAGTCTCTATTCAGTTGCTATTTGGAGTGATTACAATAGCTCAGTTTAATATACTTGTGATTCATTAAAAATAATAATAAAGAAGGAAAGGACAGCATACATGCCCTGACTCTACTGGAAACCTGGAATACACACTAATGTTAGTGGAACAGCTGTATTTTTACTGTCTGAACTATAGCAAAGTTGTTAGTAAACAGGATGTTTGGGATGGGATTCTGGAACGTAACAGTAATAGATTGGCTCTGGTGATTTTGTTGGAAGAGCAAACAATGTGAAATACATTTTTAATAACCATTGCTATGGAAATGACTATCGGAAACAAAATAAAAGAGCATTATTGAACAATCTCTGTCTTCTAGAATTAACAGATAGGAATAAGAGGAAAAATGTTAGAAACAAGTGATACTTTTCACAGAAGGCTAAAGTTTTGATGAGCACAATATTAATTTAAGTAACTCATTTATGTAAATAAAAATGTATTAAGAACACTGGGGTAAATTTAGGGAAATAAAATATCTTTTTATAACATGAAGAAAGAGAGAAAGAGAGAGAGTAGAGATATACTAAAGTTGGATGATTCATTTAGAACAAGTTTTACTGGAAAAACTTTTATAACCGATGTTACTCATAATCAGCTCTTCTAAACATTGAATGATTTCATTGGTTTTCTTGTTATCAATTGATTGCCCTATTGAATTATCAGGCCCTTTAGGTCAATAAAAATGTGTAGTTATGCTCAGCCCTTGCAACTTTTACATTTTTCTATTATAACCATAAAAACTACAAGTTGCAGTAATTGTAAGGCCAACAACTTACAAATTGTATAATTTTGCCACAATAAGTTATTTATTACTTGTTTTTTTTAAATATTATTAATGGTATTCTGCACGAATGCTGGTCCTTGCTTTCCAGTATAAATATATATTAACTTTTGGAGAATCATGTACTTATTCATTTATATTTCTGATATTTTCTTATTATCTATCAAAATTAAATTGGAATAACTAGCAGTCAACTTTATGTTAAAATACTCATTCAAAGAATAAATAGTATATACAATTAAAAAGTTATATTTCTAGTCATACTTTCAAAAATATACTTTGTGGAAATTGTGATTGTTTTGATGGATTTTTGTTAGACACTGATAATTTCCACGTCTGCCTTACAAATCTACATTGGAAGGAAGGAAGGAAGGAAGGAAGGAAGGAAGGAAGGAAGGAAGGAAGGAAGGAAGGAAGGAAGGAAGGAAACCAGAGACAGATAAACAGAAGAAATATATCCATCACACCCTAAATGAAAAATTGAGAATAACTGGATGCAGATCATAACTCAAGTGATGACGCTCCCACAACTTCTGAAGGCAAGCTGTTCCATTGGTTGATTGTTTTCACTGTCAGAAAATCTCTCCTTATTTCCAGGTTAAATTTCTCCTTGTTCAGTTTCCATCCATTATTCCTTGTCTGGCCTACAGGTGTTTTAGAAAATAGCTTGATCCCTTCCTCTCTGTGGTAGCCCTTCATATATTGAAACACTGCTATCATGTTTCCCCTGGTTCTTCTCTTCACTAGACTATCCAGGCCCAGTTCCTGCAACCGTTCATCATATGTTTTAGTCTCCAGTCCCCTAATCATCCTGATTGCTCTTCTCTGCACACTTTCTAGAGTCTCAACATCTTTTTTATAGTGTGGTGACCAAAACTGGATGCAGTACTCTAGGTGTGGTCTTACTAAGGCTTTATAGAGTGGTATTAGTACCTCACTTGATCTTCATTATATCCCTCTGTTAATGCAATTTAGGATTGCATTGGCTTTTTTGGCTGCTGCTGCACATTGCTGGCTCATATTTAGCTGGTTGTCCACTAAGACTCCAATATCCTTCTCACAGTTACTGCTATTAAAGCTGGTTTCACCCAATCTATGTGTATGTTTTTGGTTTTTCTTGCCTAAGTGTAGGACTTTACTTTTCTCTACATTGAATTTCATTTTGTTAGATATGGCCCAGTGTTCTAGTCTGTCAAGATCCATCTGAATCTTGAGCTTATCTTTTTGGGTGTTAGCTATTCCTGCCAGCTTAGTATCATCTGCAAATTTGGTAAGTCCCCCTTCTATTCCCTTATCTAAGTCGTTTATGAAGATATTGAAGAATATTGGCATAAGACGGAACCTTAGGAACTGGCCAATGTAGATTTCTTGGCAGCAGTATGGAAATGGCTTCCAAATGCCTTGTTTTGATTTTTGATTACCCAGTCCAGTCTATGTCGTAAAGATTTCCTGGTGCTTTCCCAAACAAGTACCAAACACATCACACTTGTTTCTCCAAATGCCTTGAAACACGGGGAACGTGCAACAATTGACTGTATTATATTGTGGCAAAATTGCACCAAGATTTCTTTTTACAGATAGTTCTCAACTTACAATAGTTCATTTAATGACCTTTCAGAGTAACAATGACACAGAAAAAAGTGACTTATGGCTATTTTTTACACTTATAAGTGTTGTAGCATCCCCATGGTCATGTGATTTACATTCGGATACTTGACAACTGACTCAAATTTATGATGGTTACAGTGTCCCAGAGCCACATGATCCCCTTTTGTGACCTTCTGTCAATAGGGAAACCAGATTCACTTAACAATTGTGTTACTAGTTTTATAACTGCAGTGATTCACTAAACAAATATGGCAAGAGAAGTCATAAAATGGGGCAAAACTCACTTAACAAATGTCTCACTTAACATAAATTTTGGGCTCAACTGTGGTTGTAAGTTGAAGACTACCCGTACTGTCTTTAAGGAATCATAACAGAAAATAATCATCCACTAAGATTGATGTAGATGACATGCCTATGCAAACATATACATGCAATGGCAAACAACAACTTCCAGTCCATATAATGGAACAACTTTTGCTAGGGTTAAATTCAATTATAGATGCATATCTGCTCTGAAGTGACAGGAAGAGATAGCATTATTAGATACTATCTTTATTGTATCTCAATTATTTATAGGATTTGTGTTCTTTTATAAAATATAAAAAGATGGATATTCCTGTTTAAATGGGAGGTACAGAATTAGAACTGCAACTGTGAATTCTGTTCTTAAGAGATCTATATAAATATAAAATCTGTGTAATATTTTATTATGGATTCAAACTAATCCCATTTTTTTAACAGGAAAGGTAAGTTTACTCATGTAAACTCTTGCTAAAATAGTAGACATGTCTGGACAACATACTGGAATTCAGTCAGTTTATCAAGATATAGGGTACAATTACACTGCAGAAGTTCTCTTCTTATAATGTAATGAAAAAATTATATCCTTAACATTTGAACAAAGAATAATTTCATCATTATAAACTGAATCACACTGAATATACTAATCCACAGAATAGCAATTCTACATATACTTAGTACTCTGCTGGGTTACTTGACATTCTATTTAGATTATCAGAAATGAGTAATACAACAGTGTTAGTGAATAAACATGTTTTCTTATCCATTTTGTTTTCTTAGTTTAATTATCATAAGTTTCATGACAGGGAGGCCAATCTAACAGAAATTCCTACTCTAGCATAACTGGTTAACTGATGCCCTTGTAAGATAATTAAGTCATCACAGAGGTCTTACCCCTATTCAGAATCAAGCGTCATCAATGCCTTGAGAATATCAAGAAACTGGTTCTTTGTCTTCTAAAAGAGTTATGCTCTTCCAGAACACAGATATGTATTTTGTAGAGAGATATCTGGTTCCAGATT